AATCCCACACTTTACATATATTTTTCTCAATTTTAGTTTAACGAGCCAATTTCGAGCCGAATACGAGCTGAACACGAACACAAATATTTAAATCGAGTCGAACACGAACACACTGTTCACGAGCCGATTTCGAACACGAGCCGATTTCGAACACGAGCTATTTAGAACGAGCCGAACACGAGCCAAGCCTGAGCTAGCCGAGCTTGAGCTCGTTTACAGCCCTAAGATTGAGTGGTATGTATGTAAATATTCCAATAACTAAATAAAGCAACTTCAGATTCATTGGAATTACTACAAGAACAAAAGAAGAGGCAAAGCAACTGAGATAAAAAAACTGGCTATGCAGTCAATCATTTCTATAAGATATACAAGTAAAACACAACTTAAACTTAAATTTCTCTATTTTAATAGAACTTATATTGAATATAACTGATAAGAAAATCAAGAATCGCATCATAAAGTTAAAAAAAAGGCTTCAAAATTACAGTTGAAAAAAATATAATATACAAGATTTCTCAGACTCAAGTTTGTTGCTAAGGGTCCCAAAAGCACACGGCCAAACTATAAGGAATAAACTATATGTGAATTTCCTTAGATAAGACAAACAACAGCATGGCAATAGAATTCACATAGAAAAAGCAAGTTGTGGTTTTAAGCGACAAGTGAAGAACCAAATAAACATCTTTCTATCATTAGACCAAGGTGAAAAACCAGAACTAGCATGAACAACAGATATCCTCAGATTAATGACTGAAACAAGTTAGGCGTGTAGCTGAGCCGAGCCGAATCAGGCTCGACTTGATAAGTGACTCATGAGATAAGCTCATCAAGCGGGCTTCAACACAACTCGTTAGCTCATGAGCCAATTGTTTAAAAAATAATTAACATAAAACATACTCTAAATATATTAAAATTCAAGACATTGCCTTTAAATTATAAAAACATTTAAAAATGATGATTTATATTTTATATCAAGTGATTTCTCATTATGTATCTTATTATCGTTCATTCTATTTATCATTTTATTATAGCACTAGCATAAATTAATATTATTTTCTCCCTTTCATAAACTTGAGCACGAGTGTGAGCTCGACTAATTAATCAAGCTCAAGTTGTGGGTAGCTCGAGCTCCACACAACTCGTTTACACCCCTAAAAACAAGTAGCTTTCTGGCATTACAAAGGAAAGAACTCGTAACTATACATAATCACAACTATATTTGATTTTAGTTCAAGCTAAGTTTCTATGCCTATCAACAAAATCCATATAGTACACAGAATCCAGGTTAGCAGAAATCATTAAAATACATTAGATAGAAATCACAAGTTTCTAAGCCGCAGATCAAATAACAGCAAGACAGAAAAAAATGCATGTTTAATAGCGGGGAGAATCAACTCACGCTTCAAATATGCATCGAACAGGTTCCCCGTGACACCTTCAATGGTATCATCAATTGGAAGTATATGCACACGCTTTCCATATTTCACATCCTGGCATTGGTGAACTGAAACCACGTCACCAAGCCTTACTTTTAGATTTGATCTCACAACCTTGTTCATCCTAATCTTAGGTTCCTCACATGAATCATCAGCAAGAACAATACAGATTGTATCTTTCCTTTTCTTTCCCTGAAAGCATAAACGAAAGGATGAGCTTTAAACGGGTAAATTTTAATACTTGAATTGATCACAGAAAAAAACCGAATGTCACACTAGCCCTGATTCGGGAGGAGAGGCGGGATTCGAAGACTAAAAATTATGATTCAGACATCGAAAGATTCAAACATTTCTGCAAGCTCCAAAGTAACCCCAATCAAAAACAGAAGCTACAAACATCCCAAATCTCTCACGCCTGTGCTTATAAAACTAAACTTCTAGGAAGAAATTCCGCAGCAGATACCAAAAACAATATAAAAACTCCATCTCAAATCTATCCTCATCGAAGCCCAAGCACGTACTCAAAACAGTCAGAACCCCAAATTCCCGAGCGTAAACAAAAAAAATCCCTTCAGGAAAAGACGAATCAAAGGATCCATTACCTTCAAAAGGATTGTATCCCCTCTGAAAAACTGGAGCTTCTCCATCGTATTGGTGTGTATCGACACCACAGAATTATCGTCATTAACAGCCTCGTCAACGATCAGCCGATTCGGAGCCTTCTTCCTCTCCAAAATCGCCGTGCTGAAATCCCTCTTTGCCGACTTCCTGGAATCCGCAGAATCACACCAAAAAAACCAATCACCATGCACAATCAACACAAGCAAACGAAACAATCGATAAACAATCACAATACTCACGGATCCGACGAGGAGGCCTCGTCCTGGTTCGCCATCCGATCTGAATCGCAGAGGTAGAGAACAGTAGAGAGAGAGAGAAGGAGACGGAGAGAAGGAGAGACTTGGAAGAGAGGAAAACATAGATCAACTCCAGGCTTAACATATAAATAACTAATCAGGGAAGAGAGTCTCCACCGTAATTGCCTGCCTGTTCATGTACTAATCACACCGTCCATCAATCTTCAATAATTAATCAGAACCGTCCGTTGTCTGACAAAATTCTTTCCAAAAATACCTACTTTCTCTTTCCGCCTCACGTCCCACGGACGTTAAAGTTTTTTATCCTAATTATTATTTAAAATATTAAATTTAAAATATTAGATTTATAATTTCTTTAAAATTGTGATATAAATACTCCTAATATTTCGCTATGCACGCAGCACACGTTCCCGTCCGCAATCTATTTTAAATCTCAATTATTTATGAAAGTAATTAAAATTACGAATATGGAAAATTTTGGGGTAATGATAAAAAAAAAAAAGATTGCCAACAAATGATATTTCGGTCGTTAAGTAGCTCTTATTCCGCTCGATCACTTGATGAATGAGTCGGACACGAACAAATTTTTTTAAGTTCGAATTATAAATGAACTGAACACGAACAACACTTTGTTCGCTCGTGTTTGGCTCATTTTTTTCTCTAACTAAAATATTTGTATTATAATATATTATATACATTTATATGACACTTTAAATCATAATAACTTGTGTGATAATATGGTTTTGCGCCTTCGTAGATATAGATTTAGTACATATTTGAATCTAGCACTTTGCATCTTTTTTTTTCCAATTTATTTTGTTGAGCCGAGCATAAATAAGAATATTTAAATCTAGCCGAACACAAACACATAGTTCATGAGCCAATTTCGAACACGAGTCAAGCCTGAGCACGCTCCAGCTAGGCTCGTTTAGAGCCCTAAGGATATCTTGGTTTTGCCTTAACTAAAGATTTTCAATCATATATTTTAAATATATTGTAAAGTAAATCGTTTACATATAAGATTTGCTCTTTTCTGACCATTTAAAATAATAAAAAAAATTGTGCTTCCTTGTAAAATTTTTCAGACACTTGTAATGGTGTTAAGTGAATCAAGCCAGGCTGTGAGCTGCTCGGGCTCGGTTTAATAAGTGGCTTGTGAATCGAGCTCGTTGACTGACAAGCCAAGCTCGAGTTAACTCCGACACAACTTGTTAATACGCTCAAATTATATTAAAAATCAAAATTTTATCTTTAAATTTTCAAAATGGTGTAAAAAAAATGCTATTTTATATATAGTATGAAGACATTTGTTATTATTTATCATCTAATTACTCATTCTATTTATCATTTTAATATAATGCTACTTTGAATAAACATTTTTTTTTCTTTTTTTGTTCATAATAATCAGGGCTACTCAAACTCGTAAAGTTAAGTTCAAACTCGATTAAGTTCATCAAGTTCAAGCTTATGTCAGGGTGGCTCAAGCTAAACTCGACTTATTTATCCGATTACACCCCTAGATACTTGTAACAATAGAGCAAAAGATGTAGCTAGCAACCAGTCACAATAGCTGTAGCTCCTCGTTCTATATGATAGTCGTTAATATGCGGCCACCAAATCTTCGTATTTTATTTAGAATGCGTTCAAATAATATAAATATCAAATACATTGAAAATGAATTGAACAATGAATTGGTGGATTTACATTAATATCCCTTAATGTAGCACACGTTCCCGTCCGCAATCCCGTCCGCAATCTCAATTATTTATGAAAGTAATTAAAATTACGAATATGGAAAATTTTGGGGTAAGGATAAAAAAAAAAGATTGCCAACAAATGATATTTCGCTCGTTAAGTAGTTCTTATTCCGCTCGATCACTTGATGAATGAGTCGGACACGAACAAATTTTTTTAAGTTCGAATTATAAATGAACTGAACACGACAACACTTTGTTCGCTTGTGTTCGGCTCATTTTTTCTCTAACTAAAATATTTGTATTATAATATATTATATACATTTATATGACACTTTAAATCATAATAACTTGTGTGATAATATGGTTTTGCGCCTTCGTAGATATAGATTTAGTACAATAGATATAGATTTGATCCATATTTAAATCTAGCACTATGCATCTTTTTTTTTCCAATTTATTTTATTGAGCCGAGCATAAACAAGAATATTTAAATCTAGCCAAACACAAGCACATGAGCCAATTTCGAACACGAGCCAAACCTGAGCACTCTCCAGCTAGGCTCGTTTAGAGCCCTAAGGATATCTTGATTTTGCCTTAACTAAAGATTTTCAATCATATATTTTAAATATATTGTAAAGTAAATCATTTACATATAAGATTTGCTCTTTTCTGACCATTTAAAATAATAAAAAAATTGGGCTTGCTTGTAAAATTTTTCAGACACTTGTAATGGTGTTAAGTGAATCAAGCGAGGCTGTGAGCTGCTCGGGCTCGGTTTAATAAGTGGCTTGTGAATCGAGCTCGTTGACTGACAAGCCAAGCTCGAGTTAACTCCGACACAACTTGTTAATACGCTCAAATTATATTAAAAATCAAAATTTTATCTTTAAATTTTCAAAATGGTGTAAAAAAAATGCTATTTTATATATAGTATGAAGACATTTGTTATTATTTATCATCTAATTACTCATTCTATTTATCATTTTAATATAATGCTACTTTGAATAAACATTTTTTTTTCTTTTTTTGTTCATAATAATCAGGGCTACTCAAACTCGTAAAGTTAAGTTCAAACTCGATTAAGTTCATCAAGTTCAAGCTTATGTCAGGGTGGCTCAAGCTAAACTCGACTTATTTATCCGATTACACCCCTAGATACTTGTAACAATAGAGCAAAAGATGTAGCTAGCAACCAGTCACAATAGCTGTAGCTCCTCGTTCTATATGATAGTCGTTAATATGCGGCCACCAAATCTTCGCATTTTATTTAGAATGCGTTCAAATAATATAAATATCAAAATGAATTGAAAAATGAATTGGTGGATTTACATTAATATCCCTTAATGAGGGCACATAAATAAATTTTGGATTACAAAAAAGAGGTAAATTTACATGCGTCCATATAATTTTTATGTATTTATACATCTAATATCTAGACTTTTATATTTACATATAGTATAGTCTAGCATCATTAACCTGTGCATGAATGGGTTTAGTGCACTTCCAAAAATTTAATAATTGTGATACTCAATGTAATGGCAAAGATTTGAATGCTATGCGGTAAATATGAAAGTTTAGGGGGTTAAATATGTGAATATATAAGTATTGTGTGAAATACATGAAGAAGCCCCATTAAAAAAAACGATAATATATATTGTAGGACCCGTTTGGGGCAGCTTATAAGTGCGGGCCGTATGGTTTGCGCGTTTCGTCAGCTTATCCGAAACCACGTTTGATTTTTTACATAAAACGCAGGACGCGGGCCGAACCTTGTGGGCTGCGTTTCAGGATAAGCAGCTTATCATGAAACGCACAAGCTGCCCCAAACGGACCTGTAATGTATATAAGGACATTAACTGCTATTAATTATTAGATTTATTGGAGAAGATAATGATGTGTTACAATAAAATTGTGTTAATATGTAAATATGAAAGTTTGAGTGGTGAATAATTAAATAAAAAAGTTTTAAGCATTATGTGTCCAAATCTATCTTTTTCTTTATTGCCAAACTTCATTATATGTCTTCTCCTTGAATAAACATAATTAGTAATGCACATCATTTCTCAATTTACACTGAGCAAGCAATAAGATAGAATTATATTTAGATTTAATCTTTAAAATTTAATATAATTAATATGCCACCACATTGACAAAAATTATATTATAAAGTAAAAGTAAATAGCTTCAACAATTAATTTAAATTTAAGCAATCCTTGTATTAAATATATATATATATATATAATGATGTAACAATGATGGATAAAATAAATTAAGAATGTTATGAATGTACTGGGCACTTAGCCCCACTGGAACTCAATTACGTTCTTTTACTCTACATTGAATGCACTTACGTTTTATCATATTTTTCTCCCCATCTGTGAGCCGTACATTTTTTATTGAATGACCGATATGTTGACCTTGCTTATATATAGAGATGATATGATAATACTATGAATTTAGTGGGCACTTAGCCCCATAGGAACTCAATTACGATCTTTTACTCTATGTTAACTTACCATATTTTTCTTTCCATTTGTGGGCTGTATATTTTTGGCTGAATGATTATCTCTTTAACCTTGCCAGCATATATGACATGATAATATTATGAATGTAGTGGGCAACTAGCCACACAAAACTCAATTATCATCTTTTACTCTATATTGACTGCACTTATATTTTATCACATTTTTCTCCCCATATGTGGGTTATATATTTTTTGTTAAACGACTACTCTTTAACCTTGCCTGTAGAGATGGCATGATAATGTTATAAATGTAGTGGGCACTTAGCCCCACGAAAACTCAATTATTATCTTTTACTCTATATTAGTTGCATTTATATTGTATCATACTTTTCTCCCCAATTATGGGCCACATATTTTGGTCGAATGACCACTATTTGACCTTTTTATAGATATAATTTGATAATGCTATGACTGCAGGGTGCACTTAGCCCCACATGAAGTTAATTATCTTTTACTATATATTGACATCCCTTGTGTTTTATCATATTTTTCTCCCCACTTTTGAGCCATATATTTTTGGCTAAAGGCCACTCTTTAATCTTGCCTGCAGAGATAACATAATAAGCTATTTATCTCCTATAAAAGAGTTTCCTCAGTTTTAACTAGATATATGTTTGCTTTCTAGGCATGAAATTGAGCATAAGTTGTAATAATTGACACAATGATTTCGATCAATAGCTTATCCATGTTCACACAAGAGAACCAATACATCAACTTTTTGCATGTATATATTATCTAAAAAGTGAATATATTTATAACATCATAAAGTGTAAATATTAAGATTAATAATCGCCCCTAAATTCTTATTATTTAACTTAATTTGATATGATGGCAACGTCTAAAAATGCTTTGTTAGACTCTCTCACATAAGGTATGGTTTCCTTTTAGTATTGTCAAGCCGCTTCATATGATAAATCAATAGTGTAGGCCCTTGTCACATGCAATATAATATTCTTGCTTTCAAATTAATGTTAGATTTGTAATCTTCTTTTTTATTGTATGTTTAATAAACCTTGATTGAGCTTATCAATGGCCTTTTGATCTAACATGTAAAGTATATTACTTTGAGGATTCCCGACTGGAGGAAGATTAGCGTGGGTGAAAATGATTGGGGATGAGGCTTCCGTTTAAAGATGGAAGTCACAACACAATAGTTGCTTGATCGACTCCTTTCTCGGTTGACCTTTGAAATGAATCATCTCCTAGTATCATTGGTACATTCCCCATTTTGTGGATAACATTGACTTGGGTAGGCCCGCCTGAATTGTCGTCTACAGTGGTCTTGCCCATTCGTCAAGTGTTGGCCTCAAGGGCTACAAACTCCATGAGCCTCTCAGCTCGGATTAGCTCCTCCACCAGGCTTGGAGGTGTCTGCTTTCTTCTGTATCGTGCCCGTGGTCTCGATGATACTTGCAGCGTATGTTGGGATTCAATAGGGAAGTATCGTTTTTAATTGGAGTCACCTTTCAGAAATACACCTTATCTTCTATGGTATTTACAAGTTCTACAATCGAAACTCTCAGTGAAATTGGTCTAAACGTTTAGTTTGATTGTTTGATCGACTGCATCTGTGTCTGTCTCATTCGTCCTCCTTGTTCCTTCAGGAGGAGCAGCCTCTCTTGTGTTTCGGACAAGGGGTGTCCTTCTCCCTCCATCCATCATCTCTCGAGTTATTCTTGCTCGTCTGTCAATCCAATTTATCTCCTTTTGAAATGGGTTGGTTATGTGATCGTTAGCTAACTTCAGAGGTTCAGCCAACATCTCGGGTTTCCATAAACCCACAACATATCTGCATTGTGGACTCTTCTGTCCTTATGCTAGGACTGCCTTAGCAATGACCAACTCTACGTTTCACTCCTCAAGCATCTTCTTCTGGAACTCTGTAACACGTGCCCTCAAGCTCTCGTTCGGTCCCTGTTTCACATACCAGAAAGAATTTGAATCATTTCATGACTTTTGGGCGCTAGCAAACTGTGCCAAAAATAACTTTATGAAGTCTCCAAAGAAATTAATAATTCATACGAGGAGTCTTTCAAACCATCTGAGAGTGCAATCTCTCAAAGTAATCTAGAACAATCGATACATCAATCTGTCTGAAATCTTGCGAAGGCAAATTACCGACTCAAAGGATGCAATATGGTCAGAAGAATGAGGGAATTTTAAATAATTAATCTATGACAAATAAATTCTAACAAATTGAATTATGCATAACATGCTTTCTTGCGAGTAATCGTAATTGGCGAACCACATCTATAAATCTCATCAACTTTGCATTAGTTGTATTTACAAAGCTAATGATATCTTGAATCTTATATATTACGTGACTAACACTTAATCCAATATCTCAACATCAAGTTGGAGATATACACACAAATGCTTGCCAAAATAAAAAAAAAACGTCTTCATCTTGATGCTGACCTTTAAAACTTTGATTGCTTTGTCATCATTTAAAGCAATGTCTTGTGATAAAAGGTAAATCCATGTTCTCAATGCCCCAAAAACAAAGGTTTTATATACTATATCATTAATTTTAGATGTTATATGTGCAGGCAACAAATAAGAAAAATCTCAAAACATATTTTTGTAATCTCAATTATGAATTGATATAATGTGTAGATAATGCTCAGTGACAATCATCGCTTTTAATGTGTGTATTCACCTGAAATTCTGATACACCAAAAAATATTCAATTTTTCATATGTATTTAAGGCTTATATTTGGTGATATTATAATTTAAAGAAATGTAATTTCATGTTTTCTTATAGGTATACTAATTCTAGGCATTTGGAGGTTTAATGATGCAAAAAGTACGAAATTTGGAATTAAAAGTGGTATTTTCCAAAAATTGAACTGGCGCCTAAGTGTCAGAATACAGAGAAGACGACGCCTATGCGCCAGATTTCAGCGCAAAGGCGTCAGAGACGTTTATTTTCACAAATGCATTAAATTTTGACGGATTTTGAGGAGGTGCCTATGGAGACTCTTGAGAAATTTGTCCTTACATTATAAATGAGTGTTTTTATGTCAGAAAAATGGGTGTGTGTTGATTGTGGGTGTGTGTTGATTGTTCAGAAAAATGGGTGTGTGTTGATTGTAAAGGTGTGGGGCATGAGTTTTAAGTTCGTTGAGAGTGTTGCAAGTGTCTCTAAGTGTTATATGAGCAGCGAGAAAGTGAGAGATTCTTTTTCCTTACATTTCTAAGAGAGATTTGAGTGTTATTGTAAAGAGAGGAAGAAATTCAAATAAACTTCATGGGATTTGCTTGGGGAAGAGATCGAGTTAAGTTGTTTCACTTTTCTTTCTTGTTTTGTAAACTTGTTTTTATATATATAATTCATGTTTTATTGTATCTTCCTCATGAATTTTGAGTAGATTTCTTTGCCCTTCTCTCTACAAAGAGAAATTGTTATGTGAAGAATCAAGTTGTTGTGCACTATTTTAATTTCATATTTGTGATGATTCAAACTTTGAATTTCATTTACTTTTCGATCTGGCCAATTGAATTGTTAAACTTTGTTGTGAAACATACGATTCGAGAGGGCTATATTTTTCACAACAAAGTAAGAGTCACTTTCGATTTTACGGATGAGATTGTAGTCCATGGGGTTGAATGCAAATAAATAGGAAAATATTCATTGATGACGTAGAATTGAAGATTTTATGGTGACAGACTAAAATCCTCAATTTAGTCCAAGTGTTTGGAAACTAAAGCGAGATGTTAGCCCTTAGGCAAGGGGATCGTGGGAACTCTGAAGTGGGAGTCAGTATCTTCTCAGTCTAACCGTAGATTTAGAGACTAAACATCGGATTAGCCAATGTTCTTTATCACTTGTAAAAAGGATAAATAATATAATTGCTCATATTTGACACAATACAATTTTCTTTAATTTGATGATTCACTGATTATAATCTCGTTGTAAGTGGAATGTGATTTCTTAAATTTGAACTCTTCGTTACAAAACATAATTTAATTTTAATTTTAGTAAAGTTAACTTTGAAGTTTAGAGATTAGTGTGGTAAATGTAGTTTCTTTAGTATCTTTACACAAATTTTGACATGTTTTCTTACTTGAGTTTTCTATAGTTCAAATATCGTGTTTTTGTGTGATTTTTTAAACAAATTTTCACCTCCCTGTGGGATCGATACTAAGGACTCCATTAGAGCCCTTTATTAATTGAGTGATATGTATAATTGCGTTTGCAACCTAATGACGATTTGAAATTGAAAGTACACATTAATTCACTAGGAGTGACAACTTTAGATATTTTAAAGGAGAAAACTTGTTGTATTGAAGTAATTTTTATTGTGGTTAATTTGCATATTTTTAGTACAACTGCCTTCTGTATTGTGGTGTTGAAAAACATTTATAACACATAACAAAAACTTCGCATCAAGTTCCATTATTTTTTTCACTGGAAGTATAATGCTTTTACTCACATAACATAAACCCCATGTACACAATTTTATTTAAAACGATATCCTTAAAAAATATACCTTATGCAAATACTAAAGTTTATGTTTTTTTTTCTTGTATATATAAAAAGACTTTCATAGTAATTTCCATGTTAAAACTTCATTC